GTGCGTGGCGCAAACCCCCGACAGCAAAAAAAAAAAAAAAAAAAAAAAAAATTCTGAGACTTAGTATCAGAACTGGGGTCCAAAAATCTCTCTGTCCTCTTTATTATTTTGAACTTACCATGCAACCCTACTAATGAGATAAACCTATGCAGGTTGAACATCCATAATCTGAAAATCTGAAACCCAAAATACTTTAAGATTAGAAACTTTGTTTTTTTTAGAAGAGGTTTTTGCTATAGGGCGCGTGCACTCGCCAGACAGACAGAGAGAGACAGAGAGACAGAAAGTGAGAAATCACCCCCAGAGGGGATGGTCACACCACAATCCCTTCTCCTCCATTCTCCTCTCAGGATCTTGGGCACGCATGCACACATGCCCGGTGTGAGTTTTAAGCCACCGGGTCCGGGACGCGAACCGCGATCGACTACGTGGGAGTCCAGTGACACAGCCATTACGCTAACTGCTGGTTCCCAAGATTAGAAACTTTTTGAGTGCCAACATAACACAAGTGAAAGTTTCCACACCTCATCTAATGGCTCATCAAAAAAATACAGGCACACAATCCTTGGTTTATTCTGCATCCCCGAGAGAGAAGACTCTCCTAGACCCTTTGAGTGTGATATACCTTTCTGGGCATGCCTGAATTCTTCCATCCAAAAATGGGCATCCAAAATTGAAAAAAAAAATCATAAATCCAAAACACTCTGGTCTCAAGAATTTTGCATAAGGGATGCTATATATTAATAAATATGTTAGATAGATAGGCAGGTTATGTATGTGTGAGTATATACACACAAATCTCTTTATATTTCTTCACCCCCTCTCCCAGCTCAGAGCGCATTGAACCCAAGGTTGATTTTACTCTCTTTCCTGGGTTTTCATGTCTCAACATTCCACATTTTCTTCCCATTTCTCTGGCCATTTCTTCCTTGTCTCGTTTCCATGCTTCCCTTATTCTATCCAGGTGTTAAATCCTGGGATTCCAGGTGCCCCCCTAAGCCGCCTGCACTCCTTACTCTGCATTAGCTCCTTCGGAAAATCATACACGGCTGGACTAGGATGAATCTCCAAATACGCAGACGAGTCGTCAATTTACACCTCCAGGGGCGGCCTCTCTCTGTACTCTGGACACACAACACACATCAAGAAGTCCCAAATTCAACCTGTCATCTCTTCCTTGATCCCCCACTCAAAATCCCAGACTTCCTCAGTCTCCCTTTTTGGTAAGGGCATCCTCATTTATCCTCTCCCTAAGCAACGCCTCCTGCAAGTCACGAGGCTGTCCTCGGCTCTCGCACAGATTCATGTTCTTCCCCAAAGCGTGGCCTCGAACGCGCTCTTGTATCCCTCGACGTCTTTCCATTTCTTTCCCTGGCTCGTTCTCACAGTCTTCAAAATGACTTCTGTTCTTTCTTCACCGGTATCAGTCCATTTTTCATACCACAGCCAGAGGGACTTTCTTCAAAACACAGATCTTACCATAGCAGTCCTTCATCCTCCAGTTCAAAAATCCTCCAGCGTCCCACTGTTGGTAGCAGAAAGACCAAACTCAACCAAGACCCTGTGAGGGGATCCCCTACCTGTCCCATGTTCCAGTTTCACGGTCGTTGGCTCCTATTGCTACAAGCACATTAGGTTTACGGTTGCCAAGGGCCCTTCTGCCACAGGGTCTTGAACTCAATGTTCTCTCTGTCTGGGCTGCTTCTTTTCCTCTTTGCCTAGTTAACTCCCTACTCACCATTTAGGTATCTAAGAAATAAACACATTCTCAAGGAAACTGTGCAGAACTTCCTAGGCCCCGGCCCAGCCTTCTCATTTCCCCTTTCGTGGCATGAAGGGCCACTGCGTGACAACAATATTTGCCTGTACGGGTGAAAGTCTTTGATGTGGCCCTTGCCCTCACCAGCAGGGAGCCCTGCTAGGGAGAGGAGGGACCCTTCCCCTCTCCTCACTGTGTCCACCAGCACAGGGTCAGACTCCACCCAGCTACAAGAACTTGCTGAATGATTAACGAAATTATTAGTGAGACAAACACTTGTGATCATTTGATGCCGATTTTAGAAATTATTTTTTTAAGAGAAGATAATAAATTGTCCAGGCAAGGAGGGAAGCCACGTATTTTAGTAAGACGGGGTGTAATTTTATAGTGTAGGTGAGCACTTCATTAGGTGATGAAAAGCACCTTCGAGGCCAAGGAATTTACCCACGAGCATGCGGAGGGGCAGGAGGGGTTAACGAAATTTCCAGTCTAACCACTGAAAGTCAGTAATCGTGCTCCTGTTCCCTGCGTAAGAGAAAGGTGGCCCAAAACAGATGCAGTAATTCTGACTTTAACTGCGTCACGTGGGACTATACGTTTTGATTTCCCCCTCCAGATGATAAACAATTATCTTCTAATGTGCTCCGGGTCCTCAGGGTGTCTTGGTTACAGAGCAGAAGCCCGGCTTCCAGTGACCTCCACTGCATCATGGTGGCATCTCATGAGGGTACAGTAACCCCTGTTTAGGCACTTTTGTACCCAAACCCGATTCTTCTCTCACACTTGGCAACTGGCTGCCAACTGGCCCCAGCAGGGGCCAGTGTCAAAGGACTTTTTTTTTTTTTTTTTTTTTAAAGAGTTTTGCTATAGGGCGTGTGCACTTGCCAGAGATAGAGAGAGAGACAGAAACTGAAAAATGAAATCACACCCCTGGGGAATGACCACACCACAATCCCTTCTCCTCCATACTCCTCTTGGGACTTTGGGCACAAACGCACATGTGCCTGGCATGGGTTTAAGCCACCGGGTCCGGGACTCAAACTGCAGTCCATGAGAGTCCAGTGACATAATCATTATGCCTTCTGCTGGTCCTAGAACATGGTATTTTGAACCCCAGCCCATTTCCATGAACTAGGTGTAGGGCTGTGGACTGCCCACCTTTGCTGCGCCTTTGACACCTCATGTCTGACGAGAGCGTTGGGCTGATGTCCCCTCCGGCCTCCCGTCAGCCTGCCAGGTCCGTGGGTCTCCTAGCA